GCCGATGATGGGACTGGCAATTCTGACGAAGAGAGCAACCAAAACCCTCCTCCTATCACTCCCTGCAGGCCTCAATGAGATGAGCAATGCTGGCGATAGCGATGGCGTTGGCAACCCTTTTCCTTGAAGGACGGAAGCGCCAACAAGAAGAACTCCCATCGCATTTGGATGGGTTCTTCTGAAGGCGACTTGTCAAGTAAAGTCACGCCACAGCGTAAAGAGAGAAAACTTTAGTTGTCGCTAGCAAATCCAATTGGCAGCTAATGCATTGTACTTGGTCTAGTGTGAATGATTGATGATGACTTGCGAAAGGCCTCAAGCTTTTTTGGTCTCGCATGTCTCCATTGTTGTACAACTCCTAATTTGAAATATGCGAGCTTGAGCCTATCACCAGGGACTTGCACCTGTTCCATCGAGCGCCGGTGATTCGCTACATCGGCCGCATCAGGTTGGCCATAGAAGAGACCTCTAAGCATACTGGCCTTCTCAAGGCAAATGGAACGTTCCATAGTCATATAAAGTTTTTCTCGTAAGCTGAAGACTAAACTTTTGTGCAAGGAAAGTATTGACTGCCACCTAATTTGAAGTTTGAATTGAGTTTCATTTCCTAACTACCTTAAAGTAACGAAGTCAGCGACCCGAACAACAACAAGTCTTTTTCCACAGTAATACCTGAGCATTAGGTTAACTAATTTTTGAAAAACCTGGAGGTCAAAGAGGAGGGTGTGCTCGAGAAAGTGGTTAGCACATTCTATCTTCGTAAAGATGGGGCGGTCTCACTTCTTGTGTGAGGCAACAATGCGAGAAGACAACTCCGCATTTGGTTGACCCACTTACCTTTGGCTTAAGGTGTAAATGGCTAGGAGTTGGTCAGTGTCCCTGGTGCTTCAGTTCCACACAGTGAAAACACCATTCATAGACAAATGGACAGTAAAAATCAGGAAAAAAATGATGCAAGGTTTTTCTGGTCCAAACCACATGTTTGCGACCCGCACATATGCATATGAGATCCATTGAAGTTGTGTGCCCCGCTCCCTTCTCCGCCCTGCATGCTGGAACCGTCCTAGCTGCTCAACACACCGGAAATCGCAACAAGGACCGCTGGCGCAACGGTAGCGCGTTCGACTCCAGCTCAGGCTCTATCGAAAGGTTATCCGTTCAAATCGGGTGTGGTTCAATGCCTCACAGCATGCCTGGATCCATGTGAAGCTATTCACATCGTCCTGGTACGATATTTTTGTGGTTTGGTGGTGTTATGATGGTTTTTGTCTGATGATGGCGAAAGACAGCGCAAACGGGTGCGCTCTTGCCCTGGGGAACCAAAAGTGGAACCAGCCTAACTGCCTGTTACATCTGACAGCCGATTACCCCTTCACTCTCTGCAAAATCGCAAAAAGTCGACCTCAGAAGCCGACATCTTCGTAGAGTCGTTGGGGTTGCTAGGACTCAACTAGCGACACAGCCTACATCCTAAAACTGCATGGAATACAGCTCAGCTGATCTACAATGTGTCCTGAGGTTGTGTACGTTTCACCCAATTAAGCATGGTGGCTATGTTCGCCGTGGCGCGGAGGCTACAGTTGTATCACGACATTGTCCCTGGTAAGCTGAGCCCAGAACACTCTTGCTTCCCCATTACAACGTGACACTCTTAGTCAATCGTGGGGCATCAAAAAAGATAGTGTTTAATATGAATGGAGTTAAGCTGTGATATTACAAACTCATTGGTGCAAATTCTCAACACGCTGAGTCCTCATAAACGCCAATCCAAGTCAGACAACGACAAAAAGCCACAACTCATCCTCGCTTGCCCACAATTCCCTTCAATGAGCGAGCTTCTTGGCTTCCTTCTCTTCGGCGTACGCAAGCCCGGAATAATCAGGAAGTTGCCAGCCCGGCACATCATCTGATTGGAGTCGCTGGAGAATCTTGTCGATCCTTAAAGTCGACACCAACCACAAGATCGTGTACAGAATTGAAATAACCCACGACGAGTTGGGGTAGATCCAGGACGGCTTAAAACCAATGTCTTGAACTTCCTTCATGAGCTCCAAAATCTCCTTGTTGTACGACTCGAGGGCGGCAGGAATACCATCGGTCGCCTTCCCTGAAGACCCTGAGCAGTGTTTTGAGATCTCGCCAGCGAGCACGTAGGCACCGATGAACGCACATGTCGTGCCCCGGCCCGTCAAGACGCTGGGTGCATATCCCGCATCTCCAAGAAGGGCCACGCGATTCTTGTAGCACTTGCCCATGCGTATCTGTCCAATCTCGACACAGTAAAAGTCATTAGAAACACCATCTTCGTTGAGCGCATCGCAAAAGCGGTCGGCTTGCCAGCCAGCATCCTTGAAGAGCTCTGACCACACCTGCTTCTGCCGTACAAGATCGCGGCTTCTTTCCGTTTCGATGAGAAGCTTCTCCGTCTCCTTGTCTGGTGGGCACACGGCGAGGTATGCCTGAGTCGTTTCAGGATTGTCGTTTCTGGAAAAAAGCACACGCTTCTTGGGACAGACGCACACCGTGGCGTAGTTGTCGTCCGTCTTCCATTTCGGGACGGTGTAAAAGGCCATATGCACGCCAAGAGGATAGAACGGATCCTTCTCGCCAGGGCTGAGCATGAGCCGTCTCGTCTTGGATCCCTGACCATCAGCTCCGACAAGCAGGTCGAATGTGTCCGTGGTTCCGTCTGACAGGTGGACCGTTACCGAGCCTGCATCCTGTTCGAACGTCTCGATCTTGACACCAAAAATGTACTTCACTCCAAGTGCAGTCGTCTTATCGAAAAGCAGCCGAACCAAATCGCCGCGCATAATCTCGAATTCTGATGTGAAGCCCTGCTTGCCAACACCAGATTTGTTTGCTTCAAAGGTCGCCTGTGTCTTCCCTTTGCCATTGACAAATCGGACGCCAGCTTCGTTGACCACCTTGTCGCGTATAAGTCCTTCGAGTCCCATGCGGCGCACAACAGTAACTCCTTGGCCTCGAAGGTCAATTTGTTGACCCTGAACGCGAAGGGAAGGGGATCGCTCGAGGATGGTTACATCGTGGCCAAGCTTCGCCAACCAGAACGCAAGGGCCGGGCCGCCAATGCCTCCACCTGAGATGAGAACTTTGAGGGAAGACATGTGATTGGGAGTGGTGCAGTTGGATAGTAGATTGGCGTACTGGTGAGAGCGTTTGCAAACTGTGTTGCTTGGACAAGCCACTCTACTAGCCAGGCCTGCTGGGTGATGAAGGGTATCTATAGCATTAGTAGGATATGAATTGAAACGTTGTGCTCGATATGCGTCGCGATGTACACGGTGATGGCATCTCGATGGGCGCGACAACTCGGCGATGGGTGTGGCCCGCAAGCCGACATCCATTTCGGGCTTTACGAGAGCGCTGTGGCATTAGTGACGTCAAGACTAGGAGCCGATTCCCGTGTGGCGGTGGTCGCACCAGCCAGCTTATGACTTCCATTGGTTGCTCCGAGTCAAGCGCGCCGCTTGTAAGCATGAGGAGAAATAGCTGTGAAACACTTCGGACTATTCAAGAAAACACCGGTTCGGTCCTGTTAAGACCTTCGGCCTTCGGACAGCTGGAAGACTCACTAACCGCAACGGTCCTACCGTACTGCCGCGTATTCGCTGCCGCTAGCTTACAAGGGTGGGCCGTAGTCTCATTCGGCCAAATACAGTATTGTACGACCGCACCGTATTACTTGTAAACAGGCAAGACATGTTCCGTCGGTCTTGGACAGACCGAGAAGATTGGTGAAAGTAGGCGGGGCTTACTGAGGTTAGTCATAGGCCCATAGAATTGTCATTAGATAGATATGGGGAACCAAAGTTACGATGAGACCCCCTTTCTTTGACCATACCAATAACATGATGACTCTTACTAGATTATAAGAACTACACACTCTAAAAGCGGAAAAGGCTTGGGAAGTGTCGAAATGAGTTGCCGTAGACTCTCGAGCCCATCAAGGGAAAATCAATCTGATTTTTTTTATTCAAGCTTTGGGTGTAATCTTTGACACATGCCACAAGCCACGTCTTGGTGGGCAGATGCTACGTCTACTAAGGTTCCCGTAATCCTAATATAGACAACTTAGACTACTGTCGCGGCTCCTGAGATAGAGCCCTGTGAAATGGCAATAGATCGACTGAAACCTGTTGGGGGGCTTGAACTCAAACTTCATCAAAAGGCGATGTTTCTCGTACTTAGCCATGAGCTCAAGAGCCATTTGCACTTAACTTTACCGGCTAAGTCGTATGGAGTTGGTACGGCATGGCATGAAGAGCCGTTCTTGGACATTACCGCTCAAGTACTATGATATATGTCCATGATCTTTCGATTGGTACATTGCGCCCGTACAAGCTTCATGACAATATCTATGAACGTGGGATATAACGATCAAGGCTAAACCGTCACGTATAGTGGTTCTCGATGAATCAGTATCGTTGCTTCTAGGTTTGATGCTCGGTCGACTTAAATCTAGTGCGGAGATATCGAATTCTTGCGTGCACTGCATCAGTCGGCCGAACTCGTTCACCCCATCTTTCTGAGATTGTATTTCGCAGGCGCTTGATCCAGGCTGCCTGGCTTTCGCATGTCTTTCGGCGTTTTTTAGGACCAGCCTCCAGATTTACTTGACGGGATCTAGAGGATTCTATTTTATGAGAAGAATTGGATGGAGGTTCACTTTACACACCTGGGATGAGGAGCACCCGACCGCTGCTCTCTTAAGGAGTTGTAAGAAAAGATGAAAGGGGGGAAAGCCTTGCTGTCGGGACGAGTCGAAGGGAAGAATTGTGACGGATCATAGGCCGATGGGAGAATTGTGACCCTGAAGCATTCTATTAATCACCTGCGCTTGTTATGTATCCCCCTACATATCACGCAGAGTATACACTATGGAATCGCTATGTCAAAGTGAATCATTTCTCCCACTTGTTGTTTGCCTTTTCGCAACGGATATACACTAGCTCATCTCAAACGACAAAGCTGCCTGTCTACGGAAGATATCCTTTGGCTTTGAATGCCCGTTCAAGGATAGCACGGATGACGTTCTCTTTCCTAAAATTATATTCCATCACAGTCTCACCCAGCGAGTTACTCATGCCTGCGGCCTCCGCCTTGGTCTTTGCATACAAATCTCTGTCATCGTCATGTTCAATCAACCACTCCTTCATGATGAGATGTCTTGCCAACTCGGCCGTCCCGACTTTGAAGACGTGTAGATTGCAGGAAAACGGCCTGTGCATGGCGAAGAAGCGATGTTCGTGCCACTCGGGCTCGCGTATGAGGAACTGGAAGCCCGCCTTCTCAAGTGCGGGCGCGTAGGCGGCCTCATCCGTCGGGTTCTCGACGGCGAGGTCAATGTCGATGACGTCCTTGGCGGGGAGGTTTGGCACCGATGTCGAGCCGACATGGCTTATGCTGACAGCTACAGAACCGATGGCGTTCTCTATGAGAGACTTAATGTCTTGGAACTGTTGCGGCCACTCGGGGTTTGGGGGTTCGATAGAAAGTGCAGGTTTGGATGTTCGCGTTGCGATGCGTTGAATGATCGTTGGATCAAATTCATAGTGTTTGACAATCTCTTCAATTGAGCAAGACATCTTTCCTACTGTCTTCTTGAATGATTTATGACAGATGTCAGATAGCACGCTGGACAGAATAATACGTGAATGCTGTCAAAATTGGTTTCTAGATTAAGGGGTTGAGTCTATCTTGTGATGTGTCTACAGTGCTGTTATGAAGTACTTCAATACAGTCTAAATCGTCGCCAACCAATGTGTGTTTCAGGGACGGCGTGAGTCATTCGGCGACTGTGTGGCTAGCATCGGATGGCACCTACAGCATCTGACCCCAGCTCACATCATCTTCATGCCTTTTCATGTTGCATGCCACGGCGACCAAAGCATCTAAGGATCCTCCAAGTCGACAAACCGATATGCCCAAAATGCGCACCAGATGAATGTGATGCCACACAAAAAGAAGCTGACGAGGTAAAACACGGCGGCCTGGGTTGGTCAGTGATGCTCGTGAACAAGAGCGAACCGGGTGATCAAACCTTGCTTGCTCCAACCCATCCCTGGCCGTCATACAATGGCGCGCAAACGTACACCGTCAACCCGCCGAGGAAGCAAATGGCCGAGTACGCCATCAACATCATGGGCGCCTGCCACGTGAAGATCATGTTCCACCGAACCTCTACAAACGGCATCTCCTTTGGGATCCACCCTCCCTTCTTCTTGATCTTGATGGCACGGATCTGCGGGATGGGAGGCACCTCCTCGAGTGGCGAGTGCACGGGCTCGACAGTCCTGCTGCGACGTATATAAAGGATCATGGCGAGGTCTTTGTCAACGTTGCGCGGCGTCGGGGATCGGTGAAGAGTCTGAAAGATGAACTGCTCGGAGGCCGCGAGGAGGATGGAGAATAGGGAGAAGGAGATGCTCGCGTGCCAAAAGGCTGGGCTGAGCCAGTGCAATGAGTCGGGAGGCGGCCATGAAAAGCAACCGATGACGGCGGCTGAAATCAAGGTGCTCTGCGAGGAGTGAGTACATGATCGCGCGAAACGAAGACGTTGGCGACTTACAGCAACTTGAACGAGCTGAAATTCGCTCAACTTTCGATCTCGCCATCGCTTCAGTTGTGCTGAAATTTCCTCGTCGGATTCGCGATCTTCAACAGCTTTGGCGATGGCTAATATCGGTAGCAAGGTGTTTTGCTGATAGAAGCGGTTGTATGGAAGGGTCAAGATGTCGGTGGCGATATGAGCAATCTTGCTGCTCAAGGTCACGGCAATAATCTAGACTGCGTCAGCGCAGGATGATCGTGTTATACAGAATAAGGTTAAGTGAACCGTACAGCAATTTTGAGACCACGATCGCTCTTGGGCACGCCTGGCGCATTGCCTGGTCCCCTTTCCGGATCCATGTCTGTGTGCATATCTTGATTATGATATTCATCTCTGCTATAGGTGCCCGACGACTTTATAAAGGTCGCATCTAAGGCGTACTACAACCAGGCAGCTGGCTTGCAGGCCATGTGCAATATTTACACAAAGTAACGGATGACTGGCCGTATTCTCGTGACCGCGCTGCTCCCCCACACCAACAGGTGATGTTTCCCCTCCAAGACTCCAAGTCATAATGTCTTAGACTAGCACCCTCACGAGCAGCGACTGACAGTCAGCTTGGCGTCAACTGACCAATCAAAGTCTTGTCGCAGCTACCAGGTAAGGCGAAGTGAACATGTTTCATTCTCGTCAACCAAACCTTCATAAGAAGCAAGGCAACTTTATACCCGCGTGGAAGAGGCGGATGAAGGGCGAGGCCGCGCTAGCTCCCGTGTATAGCTGAATACGAACACATAGTTGAGTGTGTGCAGGCCGAATTGGGCGGCTCAACCCTTTTTGATTTCAGCCTGGAACTTGCCAACCCACTGGGAAAACTCATCGCTTTCCCCAGTCCAAGGTGACTTGAGAAGTTCCGAAAGTCCAACGATCTCATCGAAGCACAGCTTCATTACTCGATCGATTTCGTCAGGTGAGAGCTCATAGAATGCGCCAGCAAGCTCGTCGAACATGTGCGGGAGTTTCCTGAGGACCCGCATCGACTCGTCCAGACGCTTGGGGATATCCGAGTTCTCGGCCGGAAGGGCGGGTAGTGTCTTGAGTCGTCGCTTGATGATGGCCTGATAGAGCAGCGTTGTCAGTCTCACGCGCTTCAGACAGGACTCGAGACGCTCGCGGATCTTGTCGGGGTCGTCGCGAGGAATCGTCCCCTGGTTCGCCATCATGTCGTCGATCATTTCCTGCGCCGAGGGCATCATGGAACCCAGGGCCGAGTCGTGGTCCGCATCATTTACGGCATTATCATCATCGTCGTCGTCGTCGTCGTCATCGTCGTCTTCGTCTTCCGGCTCTTCGTCACCCCACTCCTTGAGCTCCTCCATGACATCCTTCAGCGTCGCCCTGAACTCTTCAACCTTTTTGATGAAGCAGCCGCCGATACCTCCGGTGGCGAATTGTACCAGATCGTCGCAAGCCGACCAAATAACACCGGTGGCAGCCATGCTGCCCTTGCCAGGTGCACCCGTGGAGCCTGACTTTTGCGCTGTTGACAGAATCTTGCCATCCCTAGGGATCTTTTCAACCAGACCGCGGAGCTCCTTCAATACAGTGTAACATTTCCAAGCCAGATCTTTCCGCACAGTAGCCGTATATCGTGCCGCGTCGCAAGCCTGGCCTGCGGTGGCGATGCCGGGAATCGGGCCGCCAACGAGCTCTCGGAGGACTTTGATGACGGCCGAGGGTGTGAAGGGTTCGTTGATGATAAGAACGGAGATCTTGGTTGAGTGCGCCTTGATCAGAGTAGCTGAATCGCGAGCGAGAGCGAAGGCATCGACGGACGAGGTGTCAGTCTGCTGAGGGGTGTCTTTGCCACTATTGATGCTCTGGAGGACGGCCTCCAACTGCTGCATCAACGCGACAGCTGTGTCTGACAGAGCATTCAGAGCTGCTGGTGTAGTGGAGGAGCTTGAGGAAGCCATGTTGACGGGTCTGTGTGTCTCGCAAACACCTTGCAGGCCTCGGTGGTGGTCGACGCGGAGGTATGCTCCGATATTGAAGATGTCCAGGCTACGAAAATTCAATATGACCAAAAATGCTGCAAAGTCATTGTGCCCCGCGGCCTGGATGGAGGGGTATCTGGGTACCTAAGATACGTACCTTCTTCGTCGGATAGGCAGGTACGTACCGATCCTTCCCGCTCCAAAAGTGTCCAGTGCTCCTTCCTCAAGACTGGCGGCAGTCTCCAATCAGAACTCGTAGCGATAAGAGCTGGTGGGGCAGGCAAGCCGCTGATAAAGGTCTTGGCACGTGACCGTCTCTGCAGCTGCCCGTCGCCAGCTCCGACACCCCTGTCAGCCAAACCCACCTTGGGCGTTTTGGGTGAGCTGGAAGTTCCACGAAGTAGTCCCGTACCTTCCTCTCCATAGTGTACAAGACCTCACGTTTCCAACTCTCCAGCCTGTCACTTTGGATTGGATCTGGATAGCTTCACAACCACAACAAATCCCACAACAACGATCGAAACGCACGGATTGATGACCGATTCGATTTCTTGAGAACCATCGAGATGCGTCAAAGCTACGGCATGGTGCTTTTGGGCACCTTTGTGTCTGCTGCTGCGCCCATCGCTGCAGCTAGCTTGCCTAGAGGTGTCGGTCCTGAATGTGAGTATCGGTCGGCAGTCGACCATCCAAATCCCACCCAGATGGAGCATTTAGGCCATTTCAAGTCCACATGGGAGAAATGGAACAGGGTTTCTTTCTCTACATTCCCTTCCTTTGTTACATGACCAATTGGCCGGAAGCTTTGTCTTGGAGATCCATGATCTGTCACTAACATGATTCCCTGCAGTCGCCAAGTTCTTCGAGCTCAAGCCCTCTTTCAAGTGCATAGGTCACCCCGAAATCAAACTTCGCTTCAGCCAGGTCAATGACAATAGCTGCGACTGTCCTGATGGCTCCGATGAGCCCGGCACCGCTGCCTGCGCGCACCTCGACCCCCTCTCCCCTCAGCAGCCCTTCGCCGGCTCCCTGACGGGCACGACCAATACCTCCAATGCCCTCCCGGGCTTCTGGTGTGCCAATGAAGGTCACATTGGAGCCTACGTGCCTTTCATGTTTGTCAACGATGGTCACTGCGACTACGATATCTGCTGCGACGGAAGCGAGGAGTACAGCAAGGTTGGAGGCCTCAAGTGCGCCAACAAGTGTGCCGAGATCGGAAAGGAGTATCGTCGGGTTGAATCTGCGCGTAAGGATGCCATCGACAAGGCTGCTAAGAGACGCAAGACGATGGCCAAGGAGTCTAGAGAGCTCCGCCGTCGTGTCGAGGCCAAGGTGACTAGCCTGAAGGACGAGGTCGCGGGTCTCGAGACCCGCAAGGAGGAGCTCGAGCAGAAGCTGCACGACATTGAGCGTTCCGAGAAGGGCAAGATTGTCAAGGGCGAGGGATCCGGCGGAAAGCTGGGCACTCTGCTCAATCTGGCCAAGACTCGTGTCACCGAGCTCCGCGAGACCCTTGAGGATGTCGTTGCCCACCGCGACGAGCTCCAGAGCAAGGTGAAGGAGCTTGAGGGTATTCTCAGCCGCTTCAAGGAGGAGCACAACCCAAACTTCAACGATGAGGGTGTCAAGCGCGCTGTTAAGGGCTGGGAGGACTACGCTGCCAACCTTGCCAACGACCCTCTGCCCGATGGCCTCGAGGCCGACATCAAGGAGGTCCTTGTCGAGGACAACGAGTCTTCAGGCATCAACTGGAAGGAGTTCGAGGAGGATGACGTTTCTGACACTGATATCCGTATGCAAGACCCCTGAACAAGATTGATGGTGAAGAAATATGACTGACCATGCCTAGTCTACAACTTCGAGGCCTACCTCCCCGAGGGCATCCGCGAGTTCATCCACGGCAAGCTTTTGTCTTTCAGAGTCTGGATGATTGAGAATGGCCTGATTGCTGATAACAACAACGGCGGTGCCGAATCTCGCCTGGTTAAGGCTGCCCGCGAGGCATTCAACTCGGCCAACAACGACCTCTCTGACAAGAAGCGCCAGCTGGAGATCGAGCAGAAGGATCTGGAGAAGGACTACGGCACTGATGACATTTTCCGCATCTTGAGGGACAAGTGCGTCAGCACCGAGATTGGCGAGTACGAGTACGAGCTCTGCTGGATGGACAAGACCAACCAGAAGTCCAAGAAGGGCGGCGGTCACACTAACATGGGCAACTTTGTCCGCATCGACAAGGAGATGGCTGACGACGAGGAGCGCGTCGATGGCAAGAGTCTCGGCAAGGGCCTCCGCATGGTCATGCGGTACGAGAATGGCCAGGGTTGCTGGAATGGCCCTCAGAGACGTACAGATGTCTGGCTGGCCTGCAGTGAGACGGAGGAGCTTTGGAAGGTCACGGAGTCGGAGAAGTGCGTCTACAAGATGGAGGTGGGCACTCCTGCCGCCTGTGACGAGCTCCTTGAGCCTCCCACGCCCAAGGGCAAGGATGAGCTGTAGAGGCAGCATCGGCACGCAGCGTGTGTCGAGGAAGAATTCAGCATTGGGTCTGCTTAGCTTGGCGTCAGGTTCGTCTGCCTTAGACCGAGTAGAAAGGATGCATTAGGAATGGCCAAAACGTTTTTCGGTACTTGCAAATGGTGTTCTCTGATTTTTCGCGTAGGGTGTGCAACATGGAATAGGAACCAGGGGGTATCATGTTTGTTTGATCATTTGCGTTACAGCATGGCCTTTTTCCAGTTGGGACAGAATTAACCTCTTGATGATGCCATCTTCCTCCGCCTGCTGAGCTCTTCTTGTTCAGCCAAGACCTTGGCTGTTAATGATGCGGCCATTGGGTTGTTGATGTTGCTCGTCTTGCTCTCCTTCTTTGCAGCCTTTGCATCGTCCGTAGCCCTCTTCTTCTCGGGCTTGTCGCCGTTACCATTTTCCTTGGCATCATCCTCTGCCTTGCGCTTCTTCTTGCCGCCAGCTTTCTTGTCTTTCTTCAAGCCGTGGGTAAGACCTGCAGCGGTCAAATCGTCCATTCTTTGCACCAGTTTCCTGAGGTCGCGCTCCTCGGTTGGCAGGATTGGTACGACGTTCTCGCTCTTGAACTCTTCACTGCACTCTGGACATGCCGACTCTTGAATCTCCTTGATAGCAACCTCGGCAAACACATGCCCGCATGGTACCAGGTAGACGGACTTGACTTGCGGGCCCAGCTCCTTGAGAGAGATGGGACAGACCCAGATATCCTGCTTGGTGCCTGGTGGTGTATGCTTGTGGAACTTGAGCTTGACAATATCGCGCAACGACTTGATGCCGGTCGAAGCAAATGTGAGTTCTTGGGATTCGGGATTAGATGGTGGCGACTCGGTGCTGTCGTCGGATGGCATGAGGCCTTGGAGGATGGATTCGTAATTGTATAGGCGACCGCGCCAGTCCGACACAATGTTCTCTTTGTCGAGGGGTTGATTCGACAGAGGATCGTTACTCCAAGCGTGGCCGAGTGACTCGAGGACGTTTGCCTTTAGCTCGCTGACAGTGAGGGCACGGGCGGATTCCTTGACCAGCTCGCGGCGTTTAGGAATGGATCCTCCATCGTTACCCATGGTGAAGAGTGGTTCAGGGAGGTGGGATGATGGAGTTGAGAGGGGTGGACTAGACTGCGAGAATCAGAATGGCGAATGCTGTATTTTATTGTCTCAATATAGAGCAGAGTGGTCTCGCTGCTTGTGTCTTGCCGTTAGTGTCCTAAATGATGCGCGAGTCGTGATGTTGAATCTCGGTGTAGTGTCTTGATCCAGGACTTCAAGTCGCGACAGAAGAAACACCTGGATGCGCATTTCTGAGCGATAAGATAAGAAGATGGGGGGAACTGAACCGGTGAGGTGGACAGGTCCCATGGCACCTTAGGTACCTACCTAAGTACCTACGCAGTATTAGGAATGGCTACAGGGGTAGCAACCGAGGGAAGGCCAGCCGAGAGACTTCCACCCACCAAAGCCACCACTCATCGCAGGCTGCAGCCGCTGAAGCTTCGGGGCAATTGGTTTAGGAATGGGGGTGCCACGGTGGGGCTGAGACTGGCCGAACAGTGCGGGGTGTAGCGGGGCAAGGTCGAATCTGGGCAGCAGTGGCAGCGAAGGTACGCAGTAAAGTGAGCCGGCAGGTACCGTGTGGGAACTGTACACCAAGGTACCTTCCGTTCTTGCGCCGTTGCTCCCCCCATGGTTGACCCTCCATTCCCGTGTCGCACTTTCCGTCACTGCAGACTGCAGACTGACTGCCCTGGCCTGGTCAATTCATCTTTTGAACCTTCCGTCGTCACTTCCATCCCCAAAGACCTCCTTCATCACATACCTCGTTTGTGCAACCCCAGCACTCCCACCTTTTTCCCTTTTCACCTCCACCACTTCGCATCGCGACGGACGGTGGGATTTGGTGCAGCTGTCACTTTGACAATCCCCTCTTTGTGTACCATTCCATCGCGCGCGCGACTCCTCATCTGGACAATCACCCACTGCGAACAAGCACCAAACGACGAGCGCTGAGCACCACGAACCCCAGAAACCCTCGACCCGATCCGATTCCTACTATACTCAGTCGATGTTTCTCCCATTCTGATACTCGAACGCTCGGGTGCGCCAGCCAGTGAGCCATGGCGACCCAACAGCAGATCGCCCTCGAGCGACTTGACAATCTTGTCAGGGACTTGAGGTCTCGGTATTTTCCCTTTTCCCCCCGTCTCCAACGCCAAGTCAAGATCAAGATCGATTCGCCTTTTGCGCAGCTTCTTTCTAACCACCTCAAAGATCCTCAGACGAAGTCAGGAAGCGAGCAGCGCTGCAGCTTAGAGAGCTGGTGCTAGTCTGTCATCGAGGTAAGCCTTCCATCCCCCTCTCGGCACCATGTCATTTTCGCGACGGCGAGCTGACAGCCCACCTTTGCAGACCTTCCCCTCGATCAATTCAACACTATCTACGGTCAGGTCAACAACAAGATTACCCAGCTCATCTCCCACGGAAATGACTCCTCCGAACGCCTGGGCGGCGTCTACGCCCTCGATGCCCTCGTCGACATCGAAGTTTCCGAGCAATCGACAAAAATGTTTGCTCGCTTCAACCAGAACCTCAAAACTATCTTGCGCGGGAAGGATATAAACCCCATGCAGGCCGCCGCGATCGCTCTGGGAAAAATGTGCCGGCCAGGCGGTTCTATGATAAGCGAGCTGGTCGAGTCCGAAACCCAGATGGCCCTCGAGTGGCTGCAGAGCGAAAGAGTCGAGGAACGCCGATACAGTGCCGCTCTTGTCTTGCGCGAGCTTGCTAGGCAGGCACCTACACTCATGTACAACTATGTCGGCTTGGTCTTGGACCTCATCTGGAACAGCTTGAGAGACAACCGCCACCTCATCCGTGCCACCTCCGCAGAAACCGTCGCCGCATGCTTCCGGATCATTAGAGAGCGAGACCAGGAACTCAAGCAGACGTGGATGGAGAAGGCTTACGCCGAACTTATGCGCGGGCTGCAGCACGGCACCGTCGAGTACATCCACGCCTCTCTTCTTATGTTGAAGGAGCTTCTGGAACAAGGCGGCATGTTCATGCAGGACCACTACCCCGAAGCCTGCGAAATCGTCCTGCGCTACAAGGACCACCGCGACGTCACCATCCGCAAGACCGTCGTCTTACTCATCCCAGACCTCGCCAGCTACTCTCCCGCAGAGTTTGACCGAAGTTACCTCCACAAGTTCATGGTGTACCTCTCTGGTATGCTGAAGAAGGACAAGGAGAGGAACGACGCGTTTCTTGCTATCGGCAACATCGCAAACTCGGTCAAGAGCGCCATCGCCCCGTACCTCGACGGTGTTATGACCCACGTCAGAGAAGGGCTTAGCTTGGCAGCTCGCAAGAGAGGTTCGGTTGACGCAGTCTTCGAGTGCATAAGTCGCCTCGCTGTTGCCGTTGGCCAGACCCTCAGCAAATACATGGAGGCTCTCCTCGACCCAATCTTCGAATGCGACCTGACACCAAAACTGACCCAGGCCCTCGTCGATATGGCTTTCTACATCCCGCCGGCCAAGGATACCATCCAGAACCGATTGCTCGATATGCTCAGCATGGTCCTTTGTGGAGAACCTTTCAAGCCCCTGGGAGCCCCTCACCCAAACACTCTTACAGCCGTGCCCGCTGTTCCCAAGGATTCAAAAGATCCTTTGGCCTATGAGCATCGCAAAGCAGAGGTCAAGCTTGCCCTCAACACCCTTGGCAGCTTTGACTTCACGGGACACGTCCTCAATGAGTTTGTCCGTGACGTCGCTGTGAAGTACGTTGAGGATGAAGATCCAGAGACGAGAGAGGCTGCTGCTCTTACTTGCTGCCAGCTTTACGTGCGCGACCCCATTGTCAACCAGACTAGTTATCATGCACTGCAGGTCGTTGGCGATGTCATAGAGCGATTGCTTACTGTGGGCGTATCGGACCCTGAGCCGAATATTAGACGGACAGTCCTTGCTGCCCTTGACGAGCGTTTCGACAGGCATTTGGCCAAGGCAGAGAACATCCGCACCTTGTTCTTTGCCCTCAACGATGAAGTCTTTGCTATCAGAGAGGTGGCAATCTCGATTATTGGTCGTCTTGCCCGATACAATCCGGCATACGTCATCCCCTCTTTGCGCAAGACCCTTATCCAGCTTCTCACCGAGCTTGAGTTCTCTGATGTTGCGAGAAACAAGGAGGAGAGTGCCAAGCTACTCAGCTTGTTGGTCCAAAACGCCCAAGGACTGGTCAAGCCATATGTCGATCCAATGATGTCCGTCCTTTTGCCCAAGGCCAATGACCCCAGCGCTGCTGTGGCTGCGACAATCCTGAGGGCCATTGGCGAGCTTGCCACTGTCGGAGGCGAGGAGGTGTTACCATACAAGGACAAGCTGATGCCTCTCATCATTGAAGCTCTACAAGACCAGAGCTCCAACAACAAGCGCGAGGCTGCGCTGCATGCTCTCGGCCAGCTGGCCAGCAACTCCGGATATGTGATTGAGCCTTACCTGGAATACCCGCAGCTCCTGGAGCTACTCCAAGGCATCATTCGTACAGAAGGCCAACGCGGACCTCTTCGACAGGAAACCATCAAGCTGATGGGTATCCTGGGAGCTTTGGACCCCTACAAGTACCAACAAGTCGAGCAGCGTCGGCCGGATGCTCAGAGACGTGTTGAGACCACGCAAATGACGGACATTTCTCTCATGATGACTGGCCTCACTCCATCCAGCAAGGAGTATTTTCCGACAGTTGTCATCAATGCTCTCCTGCAGATCCTCAAGGACAACTCCCTCTCGAGTCATCATGCATCTGTGATCGAGGCAATCATGAACATCTTCCGCACCCTTGGTCTGGAGTGTGTGTCCTTCCTCGATCGGATCATCCCCGCCTTCCTGGGTGTAATCCGTGCCGCAGACAAGACTCGCCTGGATTCGTACTTCAGCCAGCTGGCTACTCTGGTGTCAATCGTCCGACAGCACATTCGCAACTTCTTGCCTGAAATTGTCGAGATCTGTCAGGAATTCTGGAACACCACGACCAACCTACAATCGACCATCATGAGCCTGGTGGAGGCCATCTCTCGTTCCTTGGAGGGCGAGTTCAAGATTTACCTGGCAGGCTTGCTGCCTCTCATGCTTGGCGTGCTGGAGAAGGACACCACCACACGGCGCACGCCTTCTGAAAAGGTTCTCCACGCCTTTCTTGTCTTCGGGTCTAGCGCCGAGGAGTACATGCACTTGATCATTCCTGTTATTGTCAGGACGTTCGAGAAGCAAGGGCAGCCCCCTCCATTGAGAAAGCAGGCGATTGAGACGATTGGCAAGATTACGTATCAGGTCAACTTGAACGACTACGCCGCGAAAATCATCCATCCCCTCACTCGAATTCTCGGCAGTGGGGATATTGCCCTACGAATCGCAGCTCTAGACACGCTATGCGCCTTGATCCAGCAACTCGGCAAAGACTATCTTCACTTCATGGGCACGGTCAACAAGGTTCTCGCCCTGCACCAGATCCAGCACCAGAACTATGACTTGCTTGTCAACAAACTCCAAAAGGGCGAGGTACTCCCGCAGGATCTCGGCGGCGGTGACCGCTTTGTCGACCGGGTTGACGACCAGGCAGCCTTTGCGGATCTGGGTGCAAAGAAGTTGGAGATGAATGCCATTCATCTCAAGCAGGCGTGGGATACGAAGGGCAAGTCAACCAAGGAGGATTGGCAGGAATGGCTTCGTAGATTCTCCACGACCTTGCTCACCGAATCACCCAACCATGCGCTCCGAGCGTGTGCCGCCCTCGCTAGCTCATACCTTCCGCTGGCCCGCGAGCTGTTCAACTCCGCCTTCGTGTCCTGCTGGAGCGAGCTTTACGAACAATTCCAAGACGAGCTGATTCAAAATATCGAGAGCGCCATCAAGTCGGAGAACGTACCCCCTGATCTGCTCGGCCTACTGCTCAACCTCGCCGAGTTTATGGAACACGACGACAAGGCCCTGCCCATCGATATCAGAGTTCTCGGCCGAGAGGCTGCTCGTTGCCACGCTTACGCCAAGGCACTTCACTACAAGGAGTTGGAGTTCTTGCAGGACCAGAGCAGCGGTGCGGTCGAAGCTCTTATTGTGATCAACAACCAACTCCAGCAGTCTGACGCAGCCATCGGTATTCTCCGTAAAGCACAACTTTACAAAGAGGGAATTCAACTTAGAGAGACGTGGTTCGAAAAGCTGGAGAGATGGGAGGAAGCTCTTGCTTTCTACTCGAAGCGCGAGTCGGAAGTTCCGGAAGACAAGCCCGTTCCCGTCGAGATTATTATGGGTAAAAT